TGTTTCAGGATTCTTAGGATATATTCCTAGGAGTGGAATCACTGGGTCAAAAGGCAGCTCCATCTTTAATGTTTTGAGGAACCTCCACACTGCTTTCCACAGTGCCTGCCCCAGTCTGCATCCCCACCAGCAGTGTACTAGGGTCCCCTTTCCCCACACCCTCGCCAGCACATGTCGTTTGTTGATTTGTTGATGGAGCCATTCTGACAGGTGTGAAGTGATACCTCATTGTGGTTTTAATTTGCATCTCTGATGATTAGCAATGTTGAGCATTTTCTCATGTGTCTCTTGGCCATCCGTATGTCCTCTTTGGAGAAGTGTCTATTTAGGTCCTTTGCCCATTTCTTAATTGGGTTGTTTGTCTTCCTCTTGCTGAGTAGTATGAGTTCTTTGTACACTTTGGAAATTAGCCCCTGATCAGATGCATCCTTGGCAAATATGTTTTCCCAGACCGTGGGGTTCCTTTGTGTTTTGAGGCTGTTTTCTCTTGCTGTCCATGCCCATTTTGATGGTCCACTAAATATAAAACAGAGTTCTGGGAAAGTGGGATTTTTCACTTTTTTGTCAGTATTTTGAATTCGTGGGTTACCAGTGGATGTTTGGCAAAATATGTTTAGCAGAGAAAACTATACATTTTCAAACTTTTATTTTGTTCTTTTACGCTTTCTGACCTGGGGATCACCGAAGCTATGATGCATAGATAGATGGGGTACCTACAGTTATCTAGTAAGATTTACAGAGCTACATTGAGGCCAAAATGCAATTAATAGTTCCATGTGGGAAATGGTCCTTGAGAAACTGGATTTAGCATGATACAGTAAAAGGGATAATGGGGGAAGGGAACATAGGAGGAATTCTGGTTTGTTTTGCAGGGGTCCTGAGAAGCTACACTATTTGCTATTTCACTCTCAATATTTCAGAAAAACCTCTTGATTTAGCAGTCTGGGCCTGAGCATTCTCCACAATTAAATCAGCCTATTCTCAGAAATCAGAACAAGCCAGACCCCTTCAGTCTGAGCCTCCCTTTCTAATGGAGAGACCACATGGTTTCCTCCACCAGTGGGGGCTCCATTGGATCTGCAGCAGTAGATATGGGAAGCCAAATTGTCTATAAAGTGAGGTTCAACAATACAGACTGATTATTAATAAACTAGAGAAGAGTGTTCAAGTGCGTTATCAAAATTAAAATAGCTTGAAATAGAAATAAGGAGTCAAAGATTCAAAATTACTGCCTTGCCTTTACGTTACCCAAATCTTCAAATGATAAAATCTAAGCCCAACTTAATATTTTTGAAATAAAACCACACTATTTTTTTTGTTTGTTTCAATGTAATAAAAAATGAGTTAAATGACAAAAGAAAACCTCCCAATCTGATAAGTGACCAAATCTACCTGTTGGCAGCTGGTGTAACACAGGAAGAAAGTGAAAGGAGGGCTGAGAACTGAGAAATAATAATAATAAACAGAAAGGGAGGGAGGATGCAGGGAATCATTAGTGGTTGGAATACGAGAAAAATAGTCACTGGCTTTATGGCCAGAGACTTGCATGGGAGAAAAAAAATCTCTTAAAAAATGTAAAAGTAGGGCTGTGGCTGGTGTGGCTCAGTTGGTTGAGCGTGATCCCATGCACCGAGGGGTCACTGGTTCAATTCCCAACCAGTGCACATGCCTGGGTTTGGGCCTCGATCCCTAGTAGGTATCATGCAAGAGGCACTGATGGATGTTTCTCTCTCTCCCTCTCCCTCTCTCTCTCTAAAAAGTCAATGAAAACATTTTTTTTAATGTAAAAAGGAAATATTTTGAGAAATGATGATCTAATTAATTTTATTTTTCTTATCTTAAAAAAATAAATTTTAAGAAAAGCCAGTTCATCAACCTCTGTAATTTGTGTTGGTTTGCTGATTTGCAAGTTAAATTAATCCTTAATATACCAAAGTTCAAATACTGTCTCAAAAACAAACAAACACAAACAACAAAACCCCCCAAAAATCTACACAATGCAAAAGTCCTACTGAAACATTATTAACCAGTTAGACCTGTCCACAATTTCCAGTATCATTGTACCACTGAGCCACTACAATGGAAATCTTCTTACAGATATCTCACATTTTAGGTGTTGAGTAATGAATTTGTAGGTTAGGAAATGTCATAAGAGAGGTGTTTGGGCATAGGTAGAAAAGCCAATTTTGCCACTAACCAGCTCTGAGACCTTGAACAAACCACTTCACTTCTCTGGGATCACAGCTTACTAATATGAAATGAGGTGAAATGACAGGATGGACTAAATGACCTCTTGTCTGGAGTCACAATAGGCTTCTAAGCAGGCTACTTACCACTCTTTTTCTTTTCCGATTAATTTAAAACCAACCTCTTTAAGTCATTCCCCTACTTAAAACACTTTAAAGGATTCTCACTGCTTTTGAACTTCATTTTTTCATTGAACACTAAGTACTTATTGAGCACCAGCAGTGTGTTCAAGCATGTCACGTAGGTATTTTATAAGAGAGCCCTTTTAAATGAAAACTTTGTAAAAATACTCTCTTCTCTATGGTTACTCCTACTATGTATGTCTTTGGGGACAGAAGACTAAAGGTGTCAAATCACTGCTGTAGAAGTGATATTAGTAGCTCTGTCAGAATGATTTAATTTGCTAACCTTATAATTTTCATTTCAGTACAAAGCATTTCTTCTAGGATGATAAAGAGTTTTTCTAGTTATATGTTCACACTATTTTTGTAGTGTAGGGAAACATTTACATTGCTGAGAAATATTTCTTGGATGCCACATATATACAGGACTCATAGATTTCTAAGTGAGATAAATAATAGAATAATGGCAGTTTCAATAGAAGCTGGTAATTCCAGATAAGGCGATGATAGTTGGGGGGCGGGGGAGTAATGACTTCAAACAATATATATGAGGATTAGGCCTACATTTTTCTTCCCCTTCACTTCATTTAAGATCCATTAGTGCTTCTTTAGGGGATAAAATAGATTAATGCTTAACATCCATTCCAATGTGCCATTTTTTACTGCAGAGACTGAAAAGCTAAAAACTAAATTTCCCAGACTTCTTTGCAGCTGGAATTGGGATACATTCAACATTAGCAAGACAAAACGGAGACAGTATTCATTCTTAGGCTGCCTTTAGTTTTTCTGGAAGCAAGTATAGTCTGTTGGCACCTGATTTTTTCTGTGGCGATATTACCAGAAGCCCCAGGGTGTGATCATTAGTTTCGTGGATGTTGATAGCCAAGGTCTGGAACCTGTTTTCTAATGCCTGTCTTGGCAGGCATGGTGTGCTTCTGGAACCAGAAGCAGGAAGGAGGCTTCTGGGTCATGGAGGCTTCTGATCTGCGGTGGCTTCCTTGACAGGGCAGTTTTGTAACTGTGATGGCTTCCTGATTTTGCAGTGTCAGTATGGTTCTGGAAATTCCAGCATTAGCATCAACTTTCTAACTTTTCAATTTGCTTCCCGACTATACATGAGGCTGATGACTCTTGGTGGATCAGTTTTGCAGTGTGTCTTTGGGAATCATTCTTGAAAGCCCGAAATACATTATTTCTCCATCCCTCCCAACAATTCTGTAAGCTGATACAATGCCTGTTAGTAGATCCCTCTTTATCTAAATTAGCTATCATGATTTTTTTTTTATGTAACAGACTCATCATTGATACAGTTCCTTAGTGTCTATAGGAGTAAGTGAAAAGTTATCCTAACATTGAAGGTACACCATAATTTAGTTCCATTTTGAAAACATGACACTACAATATGTGACAAATTTTTTTCTGAGTCAACTGTACATCATTCCTGCCTCAAGTCTTGGCTTGCAGTTTATCTTCCTATTTCCTTCACCTTGTAAATCTCTTACTGTTAGGGACCCCC